TCACAATCATCATGATTGCCACTCTAATCCTAATCATACTTAACAACAACAACGTCATCAGTCTCAGCGTCAACACCACCACCATCATCAGACTCATCATCAACATCACCATCCACATCATCATCAATACCACCATCATCATCATCAGCATCGTCGTCTTCACCAGCAGTCATCAAGCATCACCATCATCGTCATTACCAGCCGCATCATCATCCTAATCCGCATCATCATCACCAGCATCAGACTCATCACCATCAGCATCATCGTAATCAGCATCATCAGCATCAGCATATGTAGCATGATCAAGATAATCGAAACCAGTATCACAAGCATCAACATGATAATCATCATCATCACCATCGTCACCGCTATCACCATTACCATCATCGGCAGCATCATCATCATAATCATCATCATCACCACCATCCTCACCATCATCATCATCATCAACAACATCATCCCAAACAGAATCATAAGCACGATCATGCTGATCATCCCCATCATCATCACCACCACCACCATCAGCATCATCATCAGCATCATCGTCACCATCATCATATCATCATCATCATCATCATCATCATCATCATCATCATCATCATCATCATCATCATTACCGTTCGCACCCTCAACAGCATCAACATCATCCCGACCACAAGCATCAGCATGATCATAATCATTAACATCTGCATCATCAGCAGCAGCAGCCCAAATATCAGCATCAGCAGTACCGTCATCATCAGCAGCACCATCATCATCAGCTACATCATCCCCGTAAGCATCCCCATGATCACCTCCATCAGCACGATCATCCCTCAATCAATCTCCCTCCCCCTCATCTGTTTCCGCCATATCTCTTCGTCCTCCTTGTCTTCCTCCTCCTCCTCCTCCTGCTCGTCCTCCTCCTCCTCCTCCTCCTCCACCTCCTCCTCCCCTTCTCCTCCTCCACCTCCTCCTCCTCCTCCTCCTCCTCCTCCTCCTCCTCCTCCTCCTCCCTCCCCTCCTACCACCCCCCCCCCTGACCCTCGTCCTGCTACTACATGGTATCCTTCTCCTCCTCATTCATATCTGCCTCCTCCTCCTCCTCCTCCTCCTCTCCTCCTCCCACCTCCTCCTCCCCCTCCTCCCCCTCCCCCCACCTGATCCTCGTGCTGTCAGTATGCTAATCCTTCTCCTCCTCATCCATATCTTCTCCTATCTCCTCCCTCTCCTCCTTTTTCACCCTCCTCCTCCTTTCCTTCGTCTTCTTCCCCTCCTCCTCTCCTCCTCCCTCCTCCTCTTATTAATTTTATTATTATGATTCATATTATGTTTATTCATCCGCCCTCCTCTCCTCCTCCTGCTCCTACCTCTTCCTCCCCCTCCTCCTCGTCAAAGCTATACCTCCTCGTCGTTCCCCTCCTCCCCCTCCTCCCCCTCCTCCCCCTCCTCCTCTTCCTCCTCCTCCACCTTCGCCTGCTCCTCCTCCACAAGTACACAATATGAATACTACTTTCGTCGCTCCTCTGATGACGTCCGGAAGATGTCGGGCACCCCTCCGCGCACTATTTCTCTAAAACACAGGATTCCCGGGAGTTGAGTTTACGCTGGGCTTTTTCACTATATTGCTCCCGCTGAAACGCTGGCCCCATTTCTGCGTCTCCGGTTGTTCCAAATCGTGCTCCGGCTGCAGAGCGGGCGTTTTCGGTCCTTCCAAATAATCCAGAAAATCTAAAATATGGCTCCCCGAAAAAACCATCGGAAGAGATTACACATTCGGTGTCGATTCGTTGTTTTTGGGGGCCGCAGAAGCCCAGGAAGTATCAAGCGGGAGCCCCGCTTCTATTGTGAGAAGGTGATGTTGAAAGCAGAGCCAGCGGATGCTCTCCATCAGCCCCGGCTTGTGTGGATCTTTGCTGGGAGCCTGAGGAGCTAGACATGGAGCCACGACTCCAGACCGCCCCAGACCTCACGAAGACGATCCACTTACCCTCCAAGAAAGCCCGGCGCCATGCCATGACATGCTGTGCGGTGGTGTGTTCTGCGCCGCTGTGCGGTGCCATGCTTTGCGTTACAATGCTGTTTGATGCAATTCTTCACTGCGCAATGCCACGCCATGCTATGACATGCTACGCTCTGCCGTGCTCTTCTACGCCATACCATGCCGTGCTCTAGCATGCATCGCGTATCCTCTTGCAATCATTGCCCTGTTCGCCATCCGACTGTGCGAATAGAGAGGATGTCTGCGCCATGGTAGGGGATGGGACGGAGGGGTAGGACGTCAGATATGACGCGAGCGCACTTAGCTTGTCCCTCCCCCCTCTTCCCCTCCCACTCCTCCTCCAGCTCCCAATTTCACTCCTCCACACTCCCCTCCCCCTCCCCCATCCCACTCCGCTCCCTCCCCCTCGTCCTCCTCCTCCTCCTCCTCCTCCTCCTCCTCCTCCTCCTCCTCTTTTTCCCCCTCCTCGTTCTCGTCCTCCTCCCCCCCCCCTCCTCCTCCTCCTCCAACTCCTCCCCCTTCTCCTCCTCCTCCTCCTCCGCCTCCTCCTCCCCCTCCTCCTCTTTATCCTCATCCTTGTCCTCCTCCTCCTACTCCGCCTCCTCCTCCTCGTCCTCCTCCTCCTCTTCACCATCCATCCTGGTACTATTTGTATAAGAGTGAAAGAGCCGAACGGTCATTCACTGTCCATGGGCGCGTGGCTGAAATTACGTT